TCTGATAAGCGTTGAAACTCATGGATCTGTCCATTGTAGTTATATGTGCAATGAATTCCATTTTAAAATCTAGGCTTTACTGATTAGCATGGACTGGTCTTGGAGGAGGCAGCTCAGGGTGCCCGAGGGTCTGTTTTGTCAGTTGAAGGGAGAGGAGAGAGTGAGGGAGGGAGAGAGGAGCAGTGGGGGACTAAAGGCGGGAGGGAGGCAGGAGGGGAGGCATGGTGAATGTTAGTCTGTATGAAATCCCTCTTTTTTTCACTTTACATCAAAGCTGAGCCTGGCAATACAATTCAAAGAGGTAATCTGCATTTCCATGGGCTCCTCCTGACCCTGCCCGCCACCCTCCTCCACCAACCCCTCACCCCCCACCTTCCTTATCCTCCCAAACCTCTCCTCCAACCACCAACCACTCTCCGATCCCACCCATACCTTTCTCCTCCGCTCACACAGCAGGACCATTGTCATCCACTCACATGACCCCCCTTCCCTCCCCCAACTGTAACCCTGTCCAGACCGCTTGCCCCCACTTCTCCCTCCTCCTTCACCTCCTCGGACACCCTTCCCATGTTCAAGCGTCCAGCAGCAGTAAGACCATTATCCGGTGGCTGTAATGTAAAAAACAATTGTAAAAGTTACACATGAATCCAGGTGATTCTCTAACCAACCAACCACCACGCTGTGTGCGCGTGTATGTATTGGCAAATGGATGTAAGGAAAACAATTCGGGAGGATGTTCTTGATTACAAAATCACAAATATTGAATGTTCATGTTTCCCACAGAATTACTTGTTATTTGGACAACATTTCAATTTGTTGATAAGTGTTTAGTGCTAGTTAACAAATGTTAGCATTAGCTAAAACGCAAACATAAAATGGTGAACGTGGTAAGTATAATACCTGCTAATCATCAGCATGTAAGCATCATAATTGCCACAGTGCCAAAGTACAGCCTCACAGTGCTGCGAGCATGGCTGTAGACGCTTATGGCTGGGTTGCACCAACACAGATTCATTTTTAAGAATTAAAAAAAATTGGTGCAAGAGAGCCCAAGATGGACCACCCAGAAATACCATTTTTTTTATCTTTAAGGCCATTCTTCATAAACATACTGTCTACCTTTGTAAAACGCGATACCACTAGATCCTCTAGGTGGAGAATCTTCTTCTCAACTGTATTTTAGTGACGTGCTCTAGGTTTGGAACAAATTACGATTTAAGATAAACCATATTTGGAATCTCTGCGTTCTTAGCCGGCGTTTCAGGCACACAATGCATCTCAATCAATTTCGATGTCAAGCAAAATTAAAAATAGAATAAACAAAGACATCATAGTTTCGTTGTTGTTGCTGCGGTATTGCTGTTGTCAAACAAATGGGCGTAACCCGACAAACCTGATGGACATTGCTCAACAGCAAGAGCAATAAATACACAATGTCCTCCATGCAGGTGGATATAATAACATAGTTGTTCTTATGACAAAACATGACATAATATCAGGCTATTCATTTTGTGTTCTTGTTTTTTGGCAGATATGTGCTGAATGTGTTTGTTTTGATTACTGCTGGATGGTATTGTTGCAGAGGTTTCGGTGGGTGTTGATCTATTTTGTTGTGCCATTGTGCCACGGAATTCCTAAACATCACTGATTCCTTCAACCTGGTGCAGCAAGTCTCTGGTTCAACTCATGACTGAGGCAACACCTTTGACCACGTATTGACTTTAGGTCTGAATATGAACTCCCTCTTATTGATACAACTTGTCTCTGAACATGAAAGAGCTTTTGACTTTGCTCAATCAGGAAATGATTTGAGTTGAATGTTTAAAAACACTTATTATCTCTGTCTGTCTACCACTGTTCCAGTGCAATAAGCCTCCCACACATCCTCACGCTCTGCCCTGTTGTCTGTGGGTGAAGAGGTGGTGTCGGGCAAGTCTGAAAAGGTCAAACCACAAATGGAGAACGTCTCTGAGAGGCCGACGGTCATGGCTAAATACGTAGGTTTCCATATCGACAGCTGGGGACAGGGACATACAAAGAACTTCCTCTGGAAGACATATAGAGGGGCCAGAATAGCATCGGGTACAGCGCGCTGTGGTCGGATAGCGCGCTGCGGTCGGAAAAAATACACACAGGAGATGACACAAAAGATGTGAAAGATATAACAGAGATGAGACACAGTGACATCTAAGAGATAGACATCTCACTGCTGTCAGATGAAGTTCATAATTTAGCCAAGAAGCAGGCTTCAGATGAGCATGCTGAGTTACACCCAGTAATTGTGCTTTAGATCTACATGACTATTGTGAAAAACAAAAAAACAAAGATCTTGCATGAAAGACGCTAAAAAATTCTAGTGCTGATAAGAAACGCAGAGTCAGGCAACAAACGACACCTTTCCCATTACACATATTTGGCCGTTGTTAATATATCGTGCAAATGTATTTTGTGAATATGAAACTCAGATGAAGGGGGACTACGCACTGAGAACACCAGTGCAGCAAACTTATACTAGATGCTGTGTTTACGTGGATGTGTTGCTAGGAGGGAATAAATGTTTATTTACTGTCAAACCACCGCACAGAGACATAAAGTTGTTGGCCTTGATATTGTTTTTGTTGTTTTGACATAGCCTCATTATGCCTTTCTCACTAACTTCACTTAGCCCCAGCCCTCTCTGTATTTTTTAATGATTTTTAACAAGATCTATTTTATGTCTTCTTGGTGCCAATCTTGAATAGACCCCCACAGACACCTCTCTATTTAGACAATAGCAGGATTTGGAGATACGGTTGCACTCAGTCCAGTTTTCATGCTCCTTCAGTCAAAGCAGAGTAGTGTTGACCTCGGCATTGCTGTGCTCGCACTCGACACTGGCCTGAATACAACAGGACACTCAAATATGAAACACCCCGCTGTGTACAAGACGTCACTTCCACCTCTTCCCTTTCTGTCCTTTGTCTCAGTATTTACAGTGGATTTAAAGCAAAGCTATCACTCATTCTGAAATGTGTTGGTCACCATCATTTAAATTTTGCTTCAGGGAGAGCTCCGGGCAAAACACAGTTTCGATATGGCACTGATTATACGCCTGTCAGTTATAATTATTATGAGCTGGAAAGGTGTCATTAACTTGTTTGTAATAACTGACTTACTGACTTACTTTGCATGTTTCCACCAGAGCAGTTTACCACAACAAACAAGCATGACGAAGGGTAACAACGACTCAAAGTTACATAGAATTCTGGAATCTCCAATAAAAACCTGACAGGTTTGCCTGACAGTGATTCAGCAGTTAGAGTCTTTGTTTATTAACCACAGCTACACTGATCACAGCGTTAATGACAAAGAAATCGAGTGCGGCGGAGGATTTATTAACAGACCAAAACGGGGTTTGTCAATGCTCAGGTAAATCAGAAGTCGTCGTAACATAAGACTCATAGCTCTTGTTTACTTCTTCCTCGTAACTATAGCCCAAAATACAAATTCTCCCCTTCCGAAAAGATAAAAGAGCCACATCAATTCAATTTAGTAGAAAGCAAAGCAACATGGAAATGAATCATTGATTATTTTTTAGCTATCCTTGTGTAACGTTGTGGACATTTCAGCTAAAAGGGGACAACATCTAAGCAACAGTAAGACCTGGAGGTTAGCTCCGGTGCTCAGCAAGATCTAATAATAGATACTCATCTCAATAAATACTAAAGTGCATTCTGGGTGTGGCGCAATTCACCGTGGCTTTGACGCTATTGGCTGAGGTATGCCAATCCCCTGGATGGTACGATGGGTAGGACGTTAATGGGCGGATTCAGAGTTCACATGAAGGCTAAGGCCCCTAATTCACCACAGACACCGCTTATTGTCTCCAGTAATGACAATATAATTATAGTGTGTTAAATAGAGTGTTATCTGCGTCCAGGGGGAACAGTCACATGGCAGCTATTCGGCTATTTACACCCTGCCAAGTTACTTAATATAGCAATAGTTAACCAACCAAAAGGCTTTTAAGATTTAGTAGAGTAGTGACAAAGTAGATATAAAGAGTAGGTTGTGGTGCATGAATGGGTCAAACTCAGGACTTTCACCCAGGAGACTTGGGTTGGAGTCCTGTGAGAAGCTTATTTTTACACTAAATTGCCTTTTTCTGTATTATTATTTCTGAACATAGCTCATTGTTCTGATTTGATAGGCAGTAACTTTTCTTTTTTGGTTCACTCACAGTCTCATTTCCGTCAGAAAGGCTCTAACATCCCACTGTGCACTACCTGCTCAGTACCAAACAGCAGACCAAATTAACTTGTGAATTTAGCAGCTAAAGAGCCATAAAGTGGGCCTCCAACATCGACACCATCAGGAAAAAGGCCCAGCAGAGGTTGTACTTCCTGCGCCAGCTCAGGAAGTTCAACCTGCCTCAGGAGCTGCTGATCCTGTTTTACTCCTCTAGCATCCAATCTGTTCCTCTATCACTGTGTGGTTTAGATCGGCCACCAAACAGGCCAGAAACAGACTACAACGGACTGTCAGGTCTGCAGAGGGGATCATTGGTGCCAGTCTGCACTCCATCCTGGACTTGTACACCTCCAGAGTCAGGAAACAGGCAGGGAAGATCGCTGCAGACCATCACACCCTGGACACAAGCTGTTCCCACTCCTCCCCTCTGGTAGGCCTACAGAGCTCTGTACGCCAAAACCACCAGACACAAGAACAGCTTCTTTCTGCTGTACATCACTCTGATGAACACTTAATCAGACATTCTGCACTAATACCCTTTTAATATATATTTATATTTATATTGTGCATAGTCCTTAAATGTTTATGCTTACATCTGTTCTACTTTTTTGTTGTCCTTGTTTTTATTTTTTATATTTTTCTTGTTTATTTGTATATTGTGTGTATGTACGTGGAGAGTCAAATTCTTTGTATGTGTACGCATGCATGGCCAATAAAGCTGATTCTGATTCTGAAATATTTGGAGGAGCTGGTGGAGACCAAACACAGAACTAAAACTAAAAGAGAGTGAATATTGGACTCATGTTCATCATAATGTTGCTCTGTGTCTATTAGATGTGTAAATATCTATTCGCTAACATGTAAGCCATAAACAAGTTTTTAAGATAACAGTTTCAAATTCAGTTTTATCAAAAGCCAATGATTTAATAGTTTATTGTATGTATTTGTCCTTCTGCTTCGTGTGTTTTTTTGTCCTCTCTGCTTTCTCATGCAAAAGAGATCTTGAACTCTGTGCGATTACCTGATTAAATAAAGGTTATATTCAGTCTCACAGCATTTCGAGAAGGCACTGAATACAAAACTACTCCCACTCGCTTTGTCCTTTTCTAATCTCCGAGTTTCACATGACACCTTTTCAAACATACCACATCACATTGGAACACGTTGTACCCAGTGAGAACTACCACATCACGAGCAATATCAGTATGCCGTCTTATACAATCAGCTTTGCAGGTGCTGACAGCTGCATGACAGCTGCGAACTGCATGACAAATGTATGAGTTTATATAACTGCTTGTTTTGTTTTATAAGCTCATCTAAAAAGGGTTCACAAACTCCACCCAACCCAGAAGTTTCTCAATCCATCAGGGAGCTAAAAAAGAGAAGTCATCAAGCTGGCGTTTTGCCCGGCACCAACATTATTCATAACTAACTACTTCAGACTTTCCAGGCTGCACCAAAGTGTGTGATTGCATCCATAAGCGGCCATGCCGCTGGTTCGTGTTCTCATCTCCATGCGCAGCAATGTCCTCGACACACCTGGGAGTAATTTGCGAGCAATGTGGGCTCTGATGAATCCGGAACACAGATTTAGATTTAATAATTCAAATTGGAGGGATTACAGGAGTGGAAAGACAAGTGCGCCTCCTTGCCAGGCTTTGCCTCGTCTTCGTTTTTTACCCCCCCTCCCCTGCACTACCACCACCACCACCACCATCATCATCATCATCACCACCATCCCTCCACTCCCCTTCCTCCCCACCACACTCTTCATTGACCCTGTGGCCCCTCCCCCACATCACTCACGGGTCATCAGTAAGAAGAAAGGGGGATTTAACGGCTAACTTGGCTCGGGAGGGCCCATGGAGGTGGGGGCCAAACACGTCTCAGAGAATTCCAATCTTCAGCTGACTACCCCCCCCCTTCCCTTCCCTTCCCACTGCGCTTTTCTGTTCCCACTTAGCAGCCGAGAGAAAACATCTCCCCTCATTTTTTGGGGGTTGATTATTGGGGCTGGAGGGCACGTCTGTCAGGAGTCCACTGATGAGGAACAGAGACGCCAACTCTCTTGTAGACACATGGCGAATGATCTGTGGGGGGAAAATTACTTAAAGCAACAGTTTGACATTTTTGGGAAATACGCTTATTCACTTTGTTGCTCAGGGTGAGATGAGAACTTTGATACAGCTTTCATGTATGCAGACCGGGGTGGTGGTTCCCTTTTTTAAAAAGGGGGATCGAAGGATGTGCTCCAGTTTTTGGGCTATCGCATGCTCAGCCTCCTCGATAAAGTGTATTCTAGGGTTCTGTAAAGAAGGCTCGGACTGAAAGTCCCACCTCAGGTACAGGAGGAGCAATGTGGACTCCCTCCTGGCCATAGAACAGTGGACCAGCTCTGCTCTGGATGGGTCCTGGGAGTTTGCCCATCCAGTCTACATGGGTTTTGTGGACTTGGAGAAGGTTTACGACCGCGACCATGAGGTGAATGGATGAATCATGAATCAACGACATGAAAAGATCAATGTGTCAACTACATTTTGTCAAGTGTAAGTGTTCTACAGTCCAACCTACACACTAAAGTTTATGCTACCACAGCTATCAAAATGTGCTGCTGAGACTCCAGGAAGTTACTGGTATCGGCCAAGAAATAGTCTTGAAGCCTCTTGATTACTACACATTTTCACTGTACAAACAAAAAATAATGTGTTCATTTGTGAGCTTCAGAGGTGCTGGAGGTGGTTTTGTTACCTTTGGGCAGACTCAAGCTAGCCTTCTCCCCCTGTTCCCAGTCGTTATGCTAAACTAAAGAGCCCCTGTCTCTAGCTGCATATTTTTGGAAAGACATAGTGATATCAATCCTCTCATCTAACGCTCAGCCAAAACCCAAATAAGCATATTCCTAAAAATGTCGATGTAGTCGTCTAACTGCCTAGTTAAAGGTGCCATCGGAAAATCAACAAGTGACAATACTGGCTGGGCAGAATAAGGATTTGAGGAGTGAAATTAGGTTTTGTTGTCAAAGAAAAGAGACTAAAGGATTAAAGGATCAAGCAGAAAATCACAAATGCAATCCAATCTTTTCTCTCAAGAGCCTCGTATCATCCATTGAGAGGGAAAGTCATTGGTGGGTATTTGTTCCTTCCAGGACTCCTCAACTCACTGCTTCACTTCTGAGGCAGCGCTTACAAGGCCGAGGCGGGGGATGAAACGAGAGAGGGTCTTGTAGAGTTATTCTTTCCTGATCAATAACGCTTTTAAACACTAATGCATGCAGTGGAGGCGGACTCAATTTGATTGTGAAGCTGTATTTGAACATGGCAGGAAGCAGCATCAGCACATCAAAGAGAGGCTTTGTGAGGAGAGGACAAGATTAGGACCTCTGACGCAAGGATGGACACAGCCAAGAGGAGGCCATGAATACACACACACACACACACACACAGGAAAACTGCTCTGACACACAAGCCAACACACTGCGAAGGCATTCAATCTAATTCCACATTTTCCGTTAAGCTTTCATTGGACGTATACAGGCACAACTATGCAGTGTCTATGTCTGAAAGATGGATGATGGAGTCATAAATCACTCATCACTTTGTTAAAGGAATAGTTCAACGTCTTTTTATACGCTCAGTCATTTTCCTAAAACATTACTCGAACACTATTTTCTGCTGAGGATTTATACAAATTGAGTAGTTTCTGGCCAACAATGGAGCTCACACAAAGCAATGAGCTAAAGTAATGCAGAAAAACAAATATCTAAATATTTTTGACCAAATACCACAATATCAATTTTGCGACAATATTGTAGGGTTGACTATTCGTGTTTTCACAAAATATTTACCTACGACTTTTGATAAATATTCATCAGTAATGTGGGTACAGTAAACTTTATTCAATTACACGACAATGAAGATCATTTTGTGAGAAATACTGCAACATAGACACATTTAGACACTAAAGAATTGGGACATTCCACCTTTTGATAGTTTTCGTTTGTCATCAAGGACATCGCTACATTATGAGGTCTTTATGAAACATGATGTTGTCATTTGATTTGCATCCGTCATGCCACTGAAACTGTGTCAGAGAAAGAAGAAGAAGAGTAAAAAAAAGCACCTGGCTGAACAAAGAAACACAGCCCCAGCCATGTGGACAGGCAGGTTAATGTAGTGATGTATCAACATCACTGCTTAATGTTCATTTCATACAGAGAAGTGAAAATATATGCTCTGCTAAATCAAAACAGAAACTATCCACACTCCAACACATTATACGTACTTCTCCTCTCCTACTTACCCTCCACCCCCACCTCCTACTTTTACGATGCCCTGCTTCCTAATAAACTTTTGTGGTGTTTGGAATCCATTAGGAGCAATATCCCACTTCTCAAAACATCCTGGCTCATTCTGGGGGAGTGGAGCAAGGAGACGGGGGAGCCGCGGGAGGGGAGGGCCTCAAATTTCCATTTCTATTGAAGGCAGACTGAGGGGGGATTTGAGCACGGAGAGCAGGGCTGCAGGGCCGCTGAGCGTAAAGTCTGATGGTCAACAGAAAGAATGTCATAAGGGAGGATCTCAGAGGAGAAAACACACTGCTAGCAAGAAATGTTTCTGGAAAAGTAGGCATTGGGTACAAAAGTATCGGGTTTTTTTTAGTAAACAGACGCTCCATTATCTTTGTTTTTGCCTAAAAACACAGTGAAATGTCTCTAAATTAAACAGTAAAGACAGAAACTATGATTAAGATATACTCGTAGACAGGATCAATGATACTGGCTTGTTGCAAAAGCATACACTTGTAACACTACAACACCAAACTGTTGAAAGTATTTTCAGACTAACAGAAGCCACATGGAACAATGAAATGTTCCTCAAATAAAACAAATGAACCGTGTAGGTGTTGAACCAGTCCTTCAGTTAGTAGTCATAAATCTGTTTAGCACCAGTTAGCCAGGGAACCTTTGTTTTTCAGCGTAGAGAGGGGTTGTTGCGTTTCTCAGTAAAGGACAATGAAAAGTGTCTGATTTCAGAACAAAAACAAGATATAAGTACAACTTCATTGCCAGGGACACTTGCTTTAAACACTGCTTTTAAGGATCTGAGAACGTATGCTTCAAAGAACTTTTACTTTCAATTCTTCCCTTTATCATCTGCCTCTCTTTCCATCTTCCAATCTACAGGTGTTGTCATCGTCAGCTATTACTCATATGTATTCCCCCTATATCAGTTCTAGTGGGCGTTATCCACCTCCAAACAAACCTTTAATCCAATTCAGATAGCAAGCACTCAAGTGTCGCAACAATTGTTCCCACAGTGTGAAAGTAAGCCACTATCTGAAAGACACAAGAGCGGCAAGACAAATGTGTGGCCGAGTGCCAGCCGGGGGAGGTACAAGAGCGAGGGGCCTGAGATTACAGACAAAGCAGGAGTAAACAGTGCCGTCACATAAAAAACACCGCCGGGTACTGTTAACAATAGTTCTTTCCTGGCAGGGAGCGTCAACAAAGCGCCTTCCTGTATGCAAGCCCCCTTGCATGCGGCCTCACTTCCTGTGGATGCTTCGACATGTGGCTCGCCGCAGACGCATCAGCGCTGACCGACCCCACATGCCAGCCGACCTCTGACCCCCTGGGCGTCTCGCTCTCACACCACGCGGGGTGGAAGAAGCGTTCAGATCCTTTAGCAATACAGCTAGTTCTGCAGAAAAAACGCCCCCTGGGAGTGTTATATTATCACATCAACCCATCTCCTAGGAATGTGTGAGATTCATGAGATGATTAAGAAAAACACAAAAATATCTTATTTTTTTTTTGTAAAATACTGGATAATTTAACTTTTTTGAGCCTCAAAAAAGACATTCAAAGCTCATAGACATCTGAAACATGACACGGAGCTCCAGTTAGACACTGCTTATTAGCTTCTCAAGATTTTTTAAAATACAATCTTAACTTTATCAGGACTGTATTAGACATTATGTACATTAACATAGCTCTAATACTGCGGTTTAAAGCTGATAACCTCGCTCCGATCGACAGCCTCGTCACTGAAGCACAGCACCAACCCTCCGGCTCCCAGTCAGGTAAACCCTGTGAGCTCTTTAAGCACTGTAGTTTGCATTGTTAGCACTGTTAGCATCGTTAGCTATGAGCTGCCGGCTCTTTGTCGACATGTTGAGAAGCATTCTAAGTAGTTTCCGTAGTTGTCAGAATAACGTTGAGTAAAAGGTGCAATACTTGCCTTTGACATGTAGTAGAACAGAAGTATAAAGTAGCATAAAATGGAAAGTTAAGTACAATTACCTGAAATTTAAACTAGAGTGAATGTACTGTAGTTATTTTCCACAGCTGGAAAACAAACACAAACATTCCCACGAGACGTCTATATCATCGGGAATTGTCCTCATTCCCACACCCACTCATTGAATCCTGCGTTACTCAGCTGCCTCAAAACAGCAGAAACATCTCGAGGGGGCAAACAACAATCGAGAGAAGAAATTACGGTTCAAACTGGGTAACTGATTCATTATGTTTGTCTTGCTTTTATAAGTTCTGGCAACACACACTTGGCGGAGGAAAAAGCATATTTCTGGATGGCACATCTCTGTGGACACCAGAAAGCCTCCTTCCTTTTAAATCAAGACTATAAATGACGTTTGTGTGCTCCACACTTTTATGATTTCAGGCAGGGAGGGGGCTGAGGATCATAAAAAGAAAAGGAGAACACAGGGCTTGTGGGTAATTACGGCGCAGAGTGGTAGGAGAAGGGAGTGTTTGGGAAAGACTCGGGGGCCAGATGTGTGAGGAATGTTCTGGCTGCTGCAGCGTGCAGAGGTGGGTGGATGGATGGCTGGGTGGGGGGAGTGAAGACCAGTCGAATAACACAGCCTGCAGATCGTTAAAGAGCTGTCAAGCCGCCAGCGTTCTACTGTGTATTTCACATCATCTCGCCGAGCGGCTCCAGCCTCACCTTTCTGCCTGGAAGCGGTGGAAAGAAACTAAACACATGCACCCAAGTACTGTAGTCAAGTATCTATTTCATACTCCTTCACTACATTTTAGAGTAAAATATTGCACTTTTTTAGCCATGCTAGTGGTGCTGATCTAGGGATGGCAGTCAGTCTGTCCAGACTGAAATATCTCAACAACTGCTGGATGGATTAAACTGAGATTTTCTAAGAAAGGTCATGGTCCTCAGAGGATGATCGTCTTACCTAGCATCACCATGAGGTTGACATTTTATTTTGTACCACGAGTTTTGAGCAGTTTCACCAAAGAGACATTTCATCTAAAACCTTCTCAAATGGTTTCATTTACATAACTGGTACCAAAGGAGTAAAATAAGCCTGTAGTAGTAGTAAAATAAATGTGTACAAATTTGTGTAGAACTCCATTAACCATCCCACGACCCCTCAGATGTGTATGGTGACCCTCTGCTGGGGGTCCGGGCCATAGGATGGGAACCACTGAACTAAACTACTGAGTTCTATTTAAAGCAGTTCACACTAGCTCCACCACGAGCAGCTTCATCAGTAAAATTCACATTGATGTATTGTATTTAGAGTTAATCTAAAAATGGCGTAAATAGTAATATACCACTCACAGGGGACATTTTACTGAGTACTTCTACTTTTAATACTTTAAGTACATTTTGCTGGTAATACATCTGTTATTCTCTTTACGTAGGATTTCGGTATTTTTTACCAAAGTGAATGATCTGCATATACTTCGGCAGACAGCTGCATCACCGCAGCCAGTCCTCCTCAATCAATTTGAAGCCGCAAGAAGCTGGGCATGTATTCATACAAGTTACCCACAATGCACCTGGACAGCTCAACCTGCGTCACAGGCAGATAGGAAGAAAAAAGGGGAAAAAAACACCCTCCATCTGCTTCTCATCATCCTCATCCATCTCCTCTTCCACCCCCCTGTCATACAGACTCTTTCTCCCTCTCTCTGTTTCATGCTCTGCCTCTCTAACTCATCCAACACTCCACCGCAACCTCTGGTGCTGTGGAATGGATAAATAGGCCACAACAGCTGGGTCCGACTCCTGACCAGGACCACCCCTCCAGACCTGACCAACACCACTCCCTCTTCTTCCCCACCACCACCACCTCCACCTCTCTGAGTCTGTGCCCACAAGGACAGAACTGAGGGAAGTTTTCCCCATTACTGGCTCTGTTTACGTAATTATTTATTTGCCTTTTATCTTCATTAAAATTCATTACCGGAGTTTTGATAAATGAGCGTTCAACCGCTTCGACCTGAGCTCATGAAAGGTTTTGTTTACAACTGCAGTGAAAAAATGACAGCTCTACAAAAATCTTTTTTCCATGTTCCTACTCCAGTGCTTCAGGCTATACACAAATATACCCAAAACGTACATGGTTCAAATAAATTCCTGATTGCGCCTTTAAGTTGGGAGCGTGTTGTTTGTTCAGCTGCTGAGGGCCTCAGAGAGAAACCCGGGGAGGCCGCGGAGAATTCATACCTTCCATTCATCACAGAGGAGAGGGAGCGGGGGGTGGGGGGGGCAAAGAAAGAGCGAGGAAATGAAGAGACAAGAGTGTGTGTTTTTTTTCTGCTCTGCTGAGTAAGGAGAGAGGAAAGCTCAGCTTTCTGACAGCTGGGCTGTGAGACCTCTGCTCGACTGATTGACTGCTTATGCCTCATTCATGTGACCGTTTTGTACAAAATCACCCTAGATTTCCAGCAGCATTGTTTCGAATCATTTCAGTTGAACCCTCTCAGTGAGGATGTGTCGTTTTCAGTTGTCGAATTCTATTCAGGGCGATTCGCACATGCAACAACGATTTGTTTCTTTCTAATATAATTTACCTGGGAAAGACGCTCATTTGCATTCTTAGAGTTGGATTAGAAGATCGATACCACTGTCATGTCGGTGAACGAAGTACAAAACTGGTAAGTAATAAGCTTAGCTTAGCACAAAGACTGGAAGCAGGGGGAACAGCTAGCCTGGCTCAGTTTCAAATAATATGCCAACCAACATCTTTAAATCTCACTTATAATCACATTATTAGTGATCACATATAGTTTGGGTTTTAGGAGTTACTTGCTGGAACAATTTTGGGTGCGGTGACTTCCTGGAGTCTCGTTATTACAGTGAGGTTGCTAGCCAGAGCCGGTCTCGTAGTTGCCTCCAAGCTCCGCCTCCATATCTAAAATGTGCCCTGTGGGGATTTCTTGTAAATGTTCTGCATACATTCAGTGTTACTCACCAAACACATTGTGTGCACCTGCATCGTTTACGTCCATGTTCCCTCATTGTCAGTCTTCCTCTGCCTCTTCATGCACGTACGACACAAACAAAACAAACAAAATGGCGGCATAAGTCATAAAAACACCACACCATAAACGCTACTAGCTGTCAGGAACTCTACGGAACGCCATCAACACAAAGATATGGGAGCAATATTGATCTTCAAATCAAACTTTTATGGAAGAAAGTGAGGGTTCCAATTGTTGATTGAATGATGACTTGTTCAAATTCTGACATTTGAGAAGATGGAACCTGAGAAAGTAGTCATGGTATGTTTTACGGTTTGTCACACGTCAGGTTGTTATAGTGCAACCAGAACATACAAAACCAGAGGTCTTCTTGCGATGGGATCACACCAGCCACGAAGCCAAATCGGTTAATAAGGGGCGTAAAGTGTTCCACAACATGTACGCAATGACAAAATCTGTCCACAGACAGACAGACATGTCACCTGACACCTGGCAAAGTACTCAAAACAGCTTCTGTGGTAGTTCCCGGTACAGTACGTGTATCCAGGACAACGTTTTGCCACAATGACACACACACACACACACACACACATACACAACAATGAAGACAATACAGTCGTGCTATTGCAGATGGTAAACTGTCAATGCACACAAGCGGTGGATGACTAAACCAGGCTGACTATAGCTTTACTGTCGCTATGAATCAGCCTGAGCTGCATCTCCACTCTGCTCCCACTTCCCCAGTCATGTCCGAGGCCACGCCAGAGCCTTGCTTCATCCTGTTGTTACTCACTTCAGTTGCACCAGCGCTGCTACACACAACTGTCTCGTCAGCACTTCTCACTTCCTCAAAAGTTTGAAAAACACGGCTGGATGGCTGACTTCGGATCAGGAAGAGCGCAAGCTTTTGCGGTCAAGGAATAATCCCAACCACGTGAACCACGCTGTGCCTAGAACAGCTGTGAGCCCTGCTGATTCAACATAATACTAACGCTGTGGAGGGATTTTTATTTTATTTTTACCATTTGACTCTGTCTGGAGTAAAATATTTTGACATAATCACATTTGCCATCATACCAGCGCCCGTCAGAGTACCGTTGGTACAGGAAAAATAAGGAAAGGGCGGGAAAAGAAACCAGACGGGGAGGTTGTTTTGAGAGCCCCAATAGTTTATTTCCCTCCATTTTCAGGGGCTGAAATTTCAGCCTCGCTGTGAGGAGAAACTCGAACCGGTGGTCCAGCTGTCTACAGACTGCCGAGAAAGAAACCTCCGCCGCACACGCTCTCCCAGAGCCGCTCTCCCACCCTTCCCCTCCTGTCTCAGGTAATCAATGGGAAACGCACACCCAAACACAACATAGCATTGAGAGGGATTGGGACGAGCTGTTGTGACAGAGGCCCCACAAACAAATCTGTCACTTGGCTGGAAAAACCATGTCCCCGGTTGTATGTTTTCTGTTCCTTTGCTTGTTCTCACTCCACAGCTAGAAAACACTGATAGAAGGCCAAACAAAAAAAAAGTTGGTGTACCTTCAATGTAATCATTGCGCAATTTATTTTCAAGTTCAAGTGATGACATATCGTCTTCATTTTCCGTGTAACTGATTTTACATTGGACACCCAAAAAGACACCTAAAGGACTAAAAACCATAATATGCAATAAAGAGAAATATTGCAGAGTTCAGTGTTTGAAATGGGTCAAACCGTCCATTTGGGGGTGGAAACAGACTTCTTGGATTTTCAAACTTGACGCAACAGTTTATTCAAGCGTAAATAAAGAAACTGACTTCTGAGAAACATCTGTTTCAATACTTTTCTTTTTAGTTTGTCTCACACCCCCCTGAATGAAAAGTATCAGGCCAGGAATCTTCTCTTCCTTTGAAACCCCGATAAACCTGCCAACAAGCCGAACTAAACTTATACAGCTTTTATCAAAACTCCTGCTCCTCCACACGGAGCATTTTCAACAACGACTTACTCTGCTTTGTTTTAAAAGTAATGGCCTGAGCAACTCTCCTTTCTTTCCTGTATCTCGCACAGAAGGAAGGAAGGCCACTCTGACCGCACAGTGACTCACTATCGACGCCTCGGTCACACACAGGGAATTAGTGACCTTGGGCACCGGACAATGAGGAGTTGTCTAAACTTGCTCGTCTTATCAGTCCCCTCTAGCAGTCTCGTAGCCGGTATCTGGGACACTTATCAACAGGCTAACTCTCCCACAGCCTCATACTCTCCTCCGCTGACAGTGTTCTGGAATCTTGAAATCATGGTGCTGTAAATCGAGTCGAGTCGACTCTTTCATTTAAGCCACGCTATTTATCTTCCTACACTTCTCACATAAGAGAACTGTACACCTGCATTTTTTCCTTCTTGTAAATACAGATGGTATTTTAGTCTGGCCGAGTACAGTCTGTACTTTCCTTCAAACTAAACATCACAGAGGTGCAGGACGTGTGCAGAGTTTAAACCTGCATTTAAAGATTTTTTGGTCCATTGGGGGGGGGGGGGGGTGAAAGCTGTAAAAACAATGAAGAGATATTATTAGCTGCCTGGATGCTGTTGTTGTTATTGTTGTTGTTGCTGTTGTTGTTATGGACCACAATGGTGGTAAGTGATCAACAAGTGCCAGAGCAGAGTGAAGGGCGGAAGAGGGTTCAGGGGAGGAGGAACAGGGCTCATGGACCAGCAGATGTTTCAGCTTTTGGGTTTTGGCTAGAAAAGGGCAATTAAGAGCTGCTCTTAATGAGGCTGGCAGCCACCCCATAAACTGTCTGCTTCAGTGAAAGAGTTGCTCATTAGACGGAGCTGCCCAGAAAAACGCCCACCTCCCCCCACCACCAGCACCCATCGCCTCCACACTTACTAGAACAGGAAGTGATGGATCACACATTTGAAAAATTGTATGCTAGCAATGAACAAAGTTACTTTATTCCACGTCTGGCTTTGCTGACAAAATCCTATATGTGTGTGTGTGTGTGTGTGTGTGTTTGCTTGAATGTGTGTCCCTGTGTGCCAGCATGTTTGTTGTGCGCCAGGCCGAGTGTGGTAATGATGCACATTTTCCATGAGGTAGGTTGCTGCGTACCCTCCGGCATTAAGATCCCAGAGAGGCCGGCTGAACATAACTGATGAGAATGCCGACATTTAAACAGCAAAACGTCCAAAATAGACCCCCTTATGATCCAAAGATCTCGTTTTTCCCACCCTCAATTTCTGTGCACCATGTATTTCTAATTTGACTAACAAAGAGTTTGATGCAGACCACGGACAACTGGAGTTGTTGGCTTATGGCACAGCTGTTCCGCATAGCAGTAAGACACAAATACAGTGATTTTCTTGATTTTTTTTAATCTCTGGTCATCCTCACGCTTCCAAATCACGTGCAGGGACTTACACAATGGTGGAAAGTAACCAAGAACATTTACTCAAGTACGGTACTTACTGTAAGTACAAATTAAATTTCCACTCCAATTACTATTCGGGGGGCAATATTGAATATTTTTAACTCCCCTACATGTATTTGACATTGCTAGCTGTAGTTACTGGTCAAGATTTTGTATACAAAACATATGAAGAGCTTAAAAATATGATGTATTTTTACAGATCAAACTACCCAACCCTTGTATAAAATTAGAGCTGAATCAAAACTCAATAGGCTGAAAAGGAAAACTAGATATTTTTCATATACAAATGCCCAGAAATGTCATGTTCCAGCTTCTCAAAAGTGAAGATTTGTTGATTTTCCGTGTCTTAAATTAGATTTTTTTTTTTTTTTTTAAATAACTTTGAGGTCTGACTGTTGATCAAACAAACCAAGCAATTTGAAGGTGTCACGTTGGAATCCGAATGAAAAAAGTCTTAAGTTGAGTACTTTTACTTTTATCATCTTAAGTACATTTCAATGCAGGACTTTTACTTGTTAAGGAGTAATTAGTACTTTTATTTAGGCAAAGGATCTAGACACTGAGACATCCTCCACTCTCACGCTAACTGGCGTGGCTCGTCCCCAGACCTGTCTGGCATCGGGAGCGCTCGGCACAACCATTCCTATTGAGTCTTGACAAAAAAAACTAGGTCATTTCGCAAAGCTCTCACTGGACACGCGCAGCGGAAAGAAAATAAACGGGGAGGTGAATGGAGCTCGACTGGAGGTGGACGAGCTTCCTGCGCAGGCCACAGAGGGATGCTGAGAGGGAGGTTAAGATCGTGCCAAGTTGTGATGAAGTATTGCCGTTTCTGTTATTCGCTATAGCTGTGGAGATAATCTTGTCATTTCACTGTTCCATATTTTGCGTGTGATGTGGCTCTCCGAGTTTCCTTCTGGTGAGTTTAATAACATTTATCTCTTCTTATAAATCATGCAGGAATTCCAAATCCCATATCTCTTTCATAACGCAACCC